GCAGCTGCGGCTGCAGTGGCGGCGGCTGCAGCGGCTGATGCAGCTGGACTTTGACTCGGAGACGCTGGCTTGGACTGAGGTCCGCTTTGTGGTTCAATCATTTGTTGATCATTTTCTTCTGGCTGCTGCTGTGACTTGACCTGGGCAAGCATAGCTTTAATCTGGCTTCCTGTGAGTGTCTCATGCTCAAGCAATGCATTGGCAAGTGCATGGTGTTCTTTCCAGTGGGTGGTGAGTATGGTTTTCGCGTTGTTATAAGCCCTTTCAAGTAAATCCTTCACTTCTTTCTCGATAAGAAGTCTAGTCTCGGTGCTCATGCTCCTGCCGTTGTCATCATAGAAATGAGTAACTAGCCTCACTTCTTTACTCATGCCATACCTTGTAACCATAGTTCTAGCTAGCGAAGTTGCATTCTCAAGATCAGACTGTGCACCAGAAGTAACTTCATTTTCCCCCAAGATAAGCTCTTCCGCAACCCGTCCTCCCATAGCAACGTCCAACCTTGCAAGCATCTGCTTCCGGGAGAAGCTTGTTTGATCCTTGTCAGGCAACTGGGCCACCATGCCAAGCGCCATTCCTCGAGGGACTATTGTTGCTTTGTGAACAGGAAGTGCCCCATCAGTATACATGGCAACAAGGGCATGGCCAGCTTCATGGAAAGCTGTAGTTTTTCGTGACTCCTCAGAAATGACAGCCGACTTACGTTCACTTCCCAATATGATCTTGTCCTTTGCGTACTCCAGATCAGCCATTGGAACCGCTTTGGCACCATCCATTGCGGCCTTTACAGCAGCAACATTGACCAAATTTGCTAGATCAGCCCCAGAGAATCCAGGAGTACCTCTAGCAATGATCATTAAATCAACATCCTCGGCCTTCAAGACCTGCAATGAACAAGAATGAATGGTCAAACTCAAACATGCATGGCTGCACACAATTATTCAAACCTCATATCACCAAGACTGATTATTAATGAGATGTAACACAAATCTAATGTGAAAAATCAAACAGAATGTTGATGCAATTGAAGGAACATGTAAAAAGGCAGAGAGATTAATTAGAAACATGTTTGAAAAGCTAACATCAAGCTCAATTTTACGACACATGTTCCAATGGGGCCTGCCAAGCACAGTCCACAAGAACTGTCACAAATCTGATGAGTCGGTGACTGAAAGTTGTCAACTTAGGCTCAAACTCCTAGAATATGAACTTCTCACAGTCAACACAATACCTTTGACATGTGGGATTCCATAATCTGCCTCCGTCCTTCAACATCTGGATAAGGAACAACAATGCGACGATCAAATCGTCCAGGTCTCACCAGTGCCTTATCCAATGATTCTGGAAAATTAGTCGCGGCAATTACAATAACTCCTTCATTCTGTTTAAATCCATCCAATTCAACGAGCAACTGATTCAATGTCATCCTCATATATTGCTGGTCCTTTGGATTACGGCTTCCACCTATGGCATCTATCTCATCAATAAATATAATACATGGTGATCGCTTCTTTGCAGCAGCAAAAAGATCTCTCACTCTTCGAGCTCCAACACCAACAAACATCTCTTCAAACTCACTGCCACTGCAGGAGAAGAACGGTACCCCAGCCTCTCCAGCAATAGCTCTCGCTAACATAGTTTTTCCTGTGCCGGGTGGACCAACAAGCAAGACACCTTTTGGAAGCTTGCCACCAAGACGAGTGAAACGCTGCAAAAAGGGCAAATGGATTTAGGAGAGAGAAAGAGAGATAAGGAGGCAAAGCTACAAATCCAAAAGAGCATTTACTTTAGGATCTCGAAGGAAGTGGACAATTTCTTCTAACTCCGACTTTGCCTCATCAACGCCTTTGACATCATTAAATTTTGTGTTCGATTCCACTACTTGCACTTCTTCATGTAGACCAAGTCCTAAAACAAGGAAATAGTCTGTCAGAATTCAGAAATAAAAAACATGCCCAGGTAGAAACTTGAGATAAAAACGTCACTTAAAGATTCTACCTTTACTGATCCCTCAATAAGTGCACCAATACCAGAAATCAACAAGAAGCAAAGTGCAAGACTACGAAAAGTACGCCACAATTGATCTTTAAAGTTCCCAGTTCTGATGACACCGTGTGGATAGGAGCACTAGCAGTTCCTAGTAGACCGTTGTTTGTAGCTTTTCCCACATTTCGCAAAGCTGAAAGTCCACCTTTACTCTCTTCCTCCCTCGCTGAATTAGATAAACCTATAATTTTGCACAATCTCTTGGTAATCAAATATCAGAAAGGCAAAGAGTGGAAATGGTTCAGAAAGAAATGGCCTAATAATAGTTTAACAGACAATTTCTAAGCACGAGTTCAAAGATTTCTCCTGGAAAGTGACAGAGAAAGAAAAGGAGCAAAGTCAACATTTTAAAAGAGACTAAAGATTCACAATTGCAAGGGCGCTCACCTTTTTGTAATGTCTTAAGCAACTCACTTTCATCAAGTCTGTCAACTTTGACTAATGCTTTAACATATTCGGAAAGTGCAGAACGGTTGGAATGTAACGACGGCTGACTTTCAAATAGCCTTATCACTGCTTCAGGATCATTTTTATGGTAAAGCTCTCTTAAGAGAGAAGCTTCACTAGCTTCATATGCCCCTCGGACCCTGCGAGCTAAATTGCCTACATAGCTTGACTTAAACCTTTGTTGGCCACTCAGAAGTCTAGTACCTGCACTCCAATGAGATTTCAGCTTAGGCAAAGTAGTTTTTGAGTTGAGAACAAGGAAAGCTAACAATGAAAAGGAAAGCCAAACATTTCACTGAAAAATAACCATAAAAAACTGTGAAGACAATGATAGAAACAAAATACCCGAAAGATGAGTTCTACTAAACAAGCTTCCAAATTGTCCCAACTCTGATTGCTGCCTTGAAACCTGTTTTAAAATGAAGATTAAGCTCACTTGTTTATCTAAAGAACAAACATTCAAATCCAAGTCTAACATGTAAACTACTGTTTTAGTAACCAAGAATAACACACAATATATGAACTCCTACTCAGCATTACAGGTTTCCATTCGAATGAAACTCCCACTCAGCATAAGCAAACGAATTTCTTCATCAGGTCCAATGGAAACTAAAATATAATATTTCAAATTTCAATCACCTGCTGTACTAATACCTAGCTCGAAATGAAATGCTTATTGCAACGTTATGATATTCGAGATTAGGGTTTCCAAAATCCCCAAATTTCAGAACATATCATAAAAAAATCCAATATATTGAACGAAAGGAAGAATCTCAAAAGATATCCTAAGAAATAGAAAGAAAGGAGGGGAAATCTCAAAAGGGGGAGGGCAGGAAACCTGAGTGATCAACCGTCTCCAAGCCATCGCCTTTTTACAAAGGCCAAAACAGGCCTGATCTTTCTATCGGTGATGAGCGTGTTTGGTTAGCAAGAAATTTAGGGAAGGGGGGGGGAATTTTAAGAGGAAAACATGGATTTTGGATTGGTTTTGGTATGCTACACGAAATGACATATTTACCCTTTCAATTTTGTTGTTTTCTTTATTTGACGCTTCCCAAATTTGTCCTTCAATTTTAAAGAGTTTAAATCAAGGTCCGCTCTAGTCTATATATCATCGTTCTTCGAACATATTTTTAATAGAATTCGTTTTTTATTGGAGTAATTATCATTTATAACATATTTTTTCGTGTTAGATATCGGAGTAATTATCATTTATATTCGAGAAAATATGCATAATGTTGGCACTTTCTAGTAATTCAATTCGTATCCAATTAAGTTTTGAGTAAATATATGCATAAACGAACCTAAGATTTTATCTCAAGTGTGTAAACTTAAGAAGTTATATTAGAAATTTAAGTAATATGAAATTAAATCATCAATATTTAAATTATATAAAAATTTAAAATATTCAAGAAATATGATCGTATCCTAATACCCCTCACTCCATCCTTAAATACGCATAACATTGATAACATACATGAATTTAACTCAAACCTAATCCAATGTACCTAGTAAACATCTCTAGATATAGTTTATATTTTAAAAAAATAAATAATATGAAGGCATAATAAATTTCCCTGAAATTAGATACAAAATATTAAGGTGACGTTTGGTTCGTTAGAATCCCTTGAAATTAAGGGGAATTGTAATATAATTCCACCACTTTCCCATGTTTAGTTCAAGTTTTCAAATGTGGAATTGAAATCTAATTTCATCAATGGAGTGAAAGTAAATTTCATCCATAACATGATGGAATTGAAATCCTTTGGAGGAGGGAATGTGAAATTTGACCATACTACCCTCATAAATCTTTTGGTATTCGGGTCGAATTTTTTTTTAAAAAAATTGGGATTGGGTCGGATTTTTTTTAAAAAAATCGGGTTCGATTCGGGTCGGGTTTTTTTAATTTTGATATTCGGGTCGGTCGGGATTTTTAAAGTGTGATATTCGGGTCGGTCGGGTTTTTTTAAGTATGATATTCGAGTCGGATTTTTTTAAGTTTGATATTCGGTTCAGGTCGAGTTTTACAATAATACCCCTCTATATATATTTTTTCAATTAAATCACTGTTTTTATTGAATAAAAATAATTTTTTTATTATTTTGGGTCGGGTCTCGGTTGGAGGTTCCCTTATTCTCGGATCTGGTCGGGTGGACCAAAAACCCGACCCATTGCCATCGATTTTAACTTATAATATTTATTAGTATAATTTTTATAATTTATTGAAATAAATAATAAATCAATAAAATAAAAGTTTAATATTTTTTAAATTTTTATAATATATTGCTACATGTAAGTTATAAAACAAACTAAATTAAGTAAAAAAAACAAGAAGTGTAATTCTATCATTTTATATTACTGAAATCAAATACATCTGACATGTCTACGAACTAAACATAATATATAATTGGATTCTAATTCAATTTCCTACCAACCAAACAAGTTTCAGATTCAGATTTCAATTCCTTCAGATTCCAAATCCTTCACAGATTCTAATTTATTCACAAATTCCAATTCCCTCATAAACAATACATCGAACTAAACTCTACCTAAATAAAGTGTTTGCCACATCTCACTAAAAAGAAGAACACCAAGGGTTTACATTACATTGAGCTTTTATCCAATCTTGTAGTTGTAGGCGGATACAGTGGTCGAGACATATGAACCGTAGGATCCGAACCAACACTACTTTTTGAATCCCCATCATAAAAACCACCTGATCTCTTAAACTGAAACTCATCCATGGACTGCATGTGCATTCTCCTCAACGCATGGTTTGTTGCTCTTTGTTTTGCCTTGGTAGACTCCGTCAAGTTCATGTAGCTTGGCCTACGGTTGCTGGTCTTATCGGTTCTGTCTGAAGACGAAGCGGAGCTCTGCTCGAATCGGAATTCGGAACTCGGACTTGAAGATGATCTAGTAGCTTGTCCAATATGGGGAGGCTTTGCTGATATCCTGGTGGTGATATTGTTCTTTCTGACTTTCACCGAACATTGTTCGGACGGACTCGTAGTCTTTCGTAATTCCGAACAATGTTTCGGTGGCGGAGTTGGCTCCGAAGGGTCGGATTGTGACTGTTCAATCAATCTAGATTCCCATGGTCGGGCTGCCATCCAACGTTCGAGCCAACTCCATCCCCAACTGTTCTTGTCAAACATTTGATTTTTGAGATATGGAACTGAAACTGAATCCGGATTCGATCTCCATTGCTGTAAAATCGAATAAAGTAAGATTGCATTCGAAAACAAATGATACACGGATGCTAAATTAATCGAAATTCGATACCTTTTGTGCAAGTGAATAAGCAAGAGCTCGTTCTCGCTTGAATGCACCTTCCTGTCTCGATTGTAGCTTGGTTTTAACATCGTCCAATGTTCTTTTACTGTCACACCATCCCTCCTATGAAACATTTCGATTTTCATATTAACAATTAAGATTTGATTCAATAACTAACACCAAAAATGAATTTTCCGACATCAATGAGGTAATTGAAGGTATCGATTAGTGGTATACCTCAGCTTGTTTCAAGGGATCGGCCTTGCTGCGGTGTTCATCGACCAGGTTCTGAACCGCCTGACCCTCTATGGATATTCGCACACGCCGAGCTCTGACTCGAGCCTGGACTCGAACCAGAGCCTGCATGCACCGGAGCGTAACGGCAGCCTGTTTCCTCACCTGTCGACCACGAACGAAGGCTTGGATCCTCACGATTCCCTTCAAAGCCCTCAATGCCCTTCTTGCCTACCAAAAACAAATCTCAAACAAGCATCATAAGCATGAAGAACAACTTTCCTTCATTTTCCTTCACTTTCTCGGACACCAAACAAGGGGGGAAACGTACCAAGAAGCCACGAAAAGCAGTTTGGATGCGAATAGCAGCCCATTCTTGCCGCACGACCCTGAAATCTTTAGGAGGAACTCGAACAACAGCAGCCATTGCAGCACTTAAAGCATCAGAACTCTGTGAGGACTCGGATCCTCCATTATCTCCTCTGAACTTTCCTTTAGAACTCTTCCATGAAGACTCCATTTCCCCAGAAAAACTCCTCCATAACTTCCATTTCTTACTCTTCCCACACACCTGCAAAAACAAAACACATAAATCTATATAACATTAAACTTCCATTAATGAATCCACAACAGAAGAGAACTCACTTGGTCATCTTTTTCATTCTTCTTGAGACCAATAAGAGATTTCACCCATTTCCCTGAACCACCCATTGAAGTAAATAACTAAATATTTTCCCCAGACCTACGAAGAACAAGTCTTCCTACATAAAACCAGAAACCATAAGAAAGGCTCCCAAAGAGGTGAAAAAACAAAGCTTGAGGATGAAGACAAATTGGTTTATTACAATAACCAATGTGATAGTGTTTTGTTCCGAGACTTTTGAAATTCAAACCAAGGGAACAGATGAATCCCGCTCAAAGGAGTGACCTTTGAAATTGGAGCTTTGTTTTTACGAAATTCGGGATTGTTGGTCCCACGGTTCTTCAACTGGGTTTTTTAGGGTAATTTTGGTCGGCTAAAGTACATTTTCAGGCCATTAAAGTATTAATTTGATTACAAATGGATCACTTTTTTTCTAAAAGTTACAATTTAATCGTTCAATTAAATTACCGTTATCAACATATCACTGGTAATTAAATATTAGACTAAATAATGATATAATCTGCTATAATAATTATTTTAATCTCCAATATTTATATAATTTATCAATTTAATCTTAATTTAAAACAATTAATAAATTTAATCATTCATATTAAAAAAATTCTCTCACTTACTCTTTATTATTCTCCCAAATATATTATATTATGTTCATGTTACTTTCTTGGTATGATAATAATTTATCAATAACCAGGGACAGAGTCAGAATTAAATATTGTTAGCAGTCGAAATATTAGACTATTTAAGAAAAATATAAAGACTTATTAGGTATTTAAACTCGAAATTAAGCATGAACCAAACAACCTTAGTGATTAAGGGATTGTTATTATCCTTGAGGTCTCGAGTTCAAGCACATATGTAGGTGTATGAGTGTTCATTGTCAAATAGTTGAAAGTATTTGTACATATATTATCTTGTATTCACCATAAATTAAAAAAAAACTCAAAACTTATAAGATAACTTCTAATTTGTCTAATATTTAAACTTACAATGACTTAAATTGTAATTAGACTAAAAATTTGAGAACACAAACTTATCATTCTTTAGTTCGATCCCTACTTGATTAAATATTTAATAAATTTTTATATTTTTAAAATTTAAATATTTATTTTTACATAAACTAAAATATTATTAAACCAAAATTATATAAAAAAAATTATAAATTTTAATAGGGGCCGGAGCCCTTTGGGCCTAAGGGAGCTCCGTCCATGTCAATAACTTATTGTTGTTTTATAGTATAATGTTTTTGTTCTACTACTACTTTATTTGATGGATTTGTTTGGTTTAACAGTATGAGATTGGTATAATATAGCGTATAAGTTTTGAGACTGAAATTTTTATTATACCAACTATATTATATGTTTGTTCCAATTTTAAAATAGAATGACATGTTGTAGTAATATTTTATTGAATGAGTAAATTATAATATTTAGAAAAAAAGTGTTTTGATTATAATCAAACTAATAATCGAGTGATCTAGAGTGTATTTTACCCATCTGTATCATGAAAAGGTTCGTGCCCTTTTGTTTTATAGCATGTGAAAAGTTGGAAAACAGCAAAGACAAGAAGTTACCCGACAAGTATCTCTCTAATCAGTGCATTGGAGATCTGGTTTGGTTCTCTCGTTCCGGTAAAACACTGTTCAAACTAAACAAAGTTACTAGTTACTATTAGGAACAGTAATGGGTCGGAGTTGAGTTAAGTTTTTAGTTCATTCTAATTTGGATTAACTGATATAAAATATAGATAAAAGAGTATTATAATAATCATATCTAAATATATAAAAGTTAATTATATTGTTATTCTTAAATTAGGTCATATATTTTTTATTCTAATCCTAAACTTAATCGGAATTCATCCTTTAAAAAACTTGAGTTAAATGTGTTAAAAGGGTTTAAATTATTCGTGTTGGGAGGGGGGAAATTCATTTAAGGGCTAAAAGGATTTAAATTAAATGTCTATGATTTGGGAAGGACTAAAAGAAAATTGTCCCCTGACAGGGGTCAAGGCCGTGGACGATGTGTATTTTTTTTCCAGATGACTGCTTTGACCTCTCAATTAGCTCAGTTTGGTCACCTTATTAAAGGCAAAGGTGTACTCAGAAACTACGCCGTATTTGTTTCTTATAATTTTATCGTTTTTAAATTATGAATGTATTTTTAATGTCATGATGATCATGAAAACCATTATGATATGATCTTTACATTGTGTTGCAGCCGCAATTTACTATGATCATAAAATTTACTTGTTATTTCATTTTGTTGTCTCATGCTTTATCGTAGTATTAAATTATAGTTGTGATGTATGTTACAGAGGAGATTGTGGTATTGTAGTTGTGGACGTCACATAACCTATAAAGATTGTCACATACGTGAATTTTTGTACATTGCGGATGTGATTTGGTGTCGCGATGACCTTGAATGTTATACTATATTGCAACTGTAATTTAATACTGCAGCTTCGTCGGTTAATGTCAAGCCTTATCGCGTTACTCGTATTATCGGAAAATGACATAAACAATTAAAATATAATTATATTACACCAATGAAACATGTATAGCTTACATAAAGAATTGATCGAAATAGCAAATTAAACAAATCAAAGAACAAAGAATGTTCAGTTAGATCCCTTCCCATTCACCTATTTGCTGCAAAATTGTAGGCACAAGAACTGCTCATAAAGCTTTCAATTACTGGCCAATGCTGACACCCTTGGACTAGGGAGTCCCATGTAAGCAAGCCTGGGCGAGACTCGAATTTTGGGGCTCGGTCTCGGTGAAGGTATTGGACCGCAGTTTCTGATGCGACCATGCGCGGGTCTCGGAGATAAGTTAACTTGTTCCAATGCCTGAGATTGCAGCTCCATTGGGTAGTCTCTAACACAACCAATACGCGGACCGACCCCGCTCGACCACTTGCAAGACAAACGGTTAGCCATGTTGAATGCCGGTGCTTCCGCATTGGCTGCACTCTTTCCATTGCCACTTTGAAGAATAGCTGTTTCCCTTGGATCTTCGATCTCACCATGCTTGGATTCACCGGCAGGGACTTTGTATGAGGTGTAGTCATTGTCTACAGCACATCTCTGCATACGGAACGAGAAATCGATGAGATTTAATGATTATTTTAGCTTAAACACATCCCAAAAGCTTGAGTGGTTGATTATTACCTTAACATTGGTCAAATCTACATTGTGTTCCTCAAGGAAAAGAATGAATTCCTTGAAATTATCTTCAGTTGGGAGGTAATGACCACTGTACGGCCAAATAGCCTGGAAAGAAGGAAGAAAATGTGTTCAAACATTAGGGGATCACATTAACTAAGTTTGTTTCGGGACTCGGATTTAGTATTTATTTATTGGATGTAGGCAACCGCAGTTTGTATAACATTTACCTCAAGAACTCCCTGAGAAACCACCAATCTTCCGGCTGCAGTCGTAGCCCCACCGGAAAGGAAACTCGAGTGCTGAAAAATGCCCTTCTTCTTCTGCCCAACGTACAAGGATCTCGATGTGCTAAGTACAAAAATCCACTTGGATTCATCACCGGTGTTAACGAGTATTCCAGATTGCTTGTAAACAAGCTTTCCACTAATGACAATCACTTCGAACGCTTCCCTCTCTTTCTGCAAGCAAGAAAAACCAGATATGATCAAGAAATGTTCCTGAATTGGTGCATTTTCACATGGGATAGAACTAAATAAGACTCACTGGTCCAAGATATTCAATGCATTGCCGTTGTAGATCGGTTCGTTGACACTTCTTAAGGCTTAGTTCTTTGCCATCACCGATATCCAACCTTTGGTTCCATGATTGAAAAAATGAATTTCAGATACCAGAATGTAACGGTGAAAAAGACCAACCTTCGCTAACTAATTAAATTACCAGTAGAAGAAAGGTTGTGTGCTCTTGCTTTCAGACCAGACATCATAGTAGAAGTGTAAATTGTGTCCATATCGATGGCGCGGGTCGATCTGCAATGACATAAAATCTCAAATCAGCAAATCAGCAACCAATTACTAAGCAAATTAGCCTGCTAGAGTACAGATTAAACAAGTGGTGATTCATACAGCTTCAAGCCAATGTTGCAGGGCTAGTTTTTGAGCCTTTTCATCCTTAGACAAACCCTTTCCTACCTACAAAATTCAACAGGATTTTTTGTTAGTCTCAAACCAGCATGCTAGAACCAATGAAAACAAGGTAGCTAACGCATTTCAAGTACCTTGGCAGCCCTTGTTTTGGCCCTTGACCACTTATCTATCACAGTTTCTTGTTTTTCGATGTCGTAAAACGAAATCGAGCACCTTCTTAATGCTGCAGAATCCAAGGTTTTCCACCTGCAAAAGTTGAATGAAATTAAGAATCAAACAAAGAACATGAAAATGAGATTATGAACCCTAAAACAAACCACTGACCAGAGCTCCTCAACCACAACAGCACAATCAGCAAGGTTCCTTCTTGTCCTATACCCTTTGTAGACCTTCTGAAGCTTAGTTGCTGCAGAATCAAGCTCGGTCACAGGCCTTGGGGAAAAGAACACCACCGGTTCAGGGGGACTGATGGTGGGTTTCCTTGGTATAATGATTCTATTCGGTTTGTTCGATGATTCAAGCTTTGGTTCATGAGAACCATCATCTCTTCCAGACCTTACAATAACCATTTCCATGGTGTTTCCATGATTAAAAATCTGGTGTTGCAGGGAAAGACCCATGGATTTAGAACCCAGAAAAATCCTTGCTTTCTTCCCTTCCCTGAAGCTCCAAAAAGATGAGGATTGAATGTTTGACAATTGAGACAGATAGCAGAAGAAATTCAAGGTGTTGAGTTAGATATGGCAGCTTGATATATATATAGGAAAAATAGGTGGGAGTTTGAACAATCAAAGGTACGACTATCATGAAAAGGACATGTTGAAAACAATTCAAAGTTGGCGAGTCATGCATAAAGGTAATTAAAAGCTTAACCGTATTTCGCTGGAGGAGTGAATCTATGAAAATGGTTGTAGGTGACCTTCAATGAAGTTCATTGGAAAGGTTGAAGAAACACCGGTTCAAAGGAAGGAAGCATGTGTTAAATGCAAGTGGAAACAAAAGGGTAGATCTGCTTTTCGGTGCATAAGCTTTGATTCATTGTTCAATTTGGTATTCAATGCTCTTTTTATTTATCGATTTAAGGACTTGGACTTGATCTCAATGTTGAATTTGATATCTTTATCTTGACTTCATGATTCTATTTGATGTTGCGTTAACTAATTTAGACCAAAAAGTAAGAATGACCGAATATGAATCTACAAATCTATCTGAAAATTCTGAATTTATTTTTCATCTGTAAGTTATTTAAGTATTACCATCTCAATATTAATTCTATTTATTATTATTATTATTATTTGATAGACACTCAAATTAACAAAAATCTAAATTCAAATCCATTAAAAGATGGATAACCAATGTTTCAATTCTCTTAGAAGCAAACATATTCACCATTTTGTAATATAGATTTTCGAATTCGTATCTACATAAGTAGTGCGAATTCAAATAATGAAATATTCGATGGTGTATTTGCATTCACATTGAATTCATAACGTATAGTAATTTAAATATTCAAATTCGTAATCTAAATTGCTACCTCTGCCAAAAAGTCAAATTCATGTACCAATTTGAATTAAGAAGCCAAACTTATGGATAAAAAAAATCTTAGGTACCAAATTAAACATTAAAACTAAATTCAGATACCAAAATGTTTATTTACCCAAAACAAAATACACATAAAGAAGAGTAACATTTAATTTAGGAAACGTCGGTGGGGTTGTAGTAAATATATAGAGTTGCAGTCATTGGAAACATCGTTTTCAGCCATGCTGGATGGCTAGAAACGTGATTGACTTTTCCTAATTGTGATAGTTTTCTTGGTCATGCCAATGGAGTTCAACATCGCCGTGGTCAATGCCATATCATAACCGGAACACCAAAATTTTAACTAAAATGAAACTTCAAGTTATCCGATATCGGTTTAAGATCGAAACGATACGTACCGACAGAAATGATCGGTGCCGACAACAATTCTATGGAGCAACAGCAAGAAACTAAATATATTGGATTATGGTAGTTTTAGAATAGTTTTGTTTTACAATTTTTCACAATTTATAACGTCAAGCAGATCGGGATTGGAGGAGGGGCGCATGAAGACTCGAAAGTTGATCGGAGGATCATCGTACAATGTATGAATATGCGGTGATCCTTTGCTTTCTTCGGTTACGCCTTCGCCTTAGCCGGTGTTGGTATCAGATGGTGCAATGTGGCTGCTGGAACAACAGCAGCTGGGCTAGGATCCTTGACTCGATGGGACCCTGTTCTCCTTAGACAGAAATTCCGGTCCATTCCGCTAGGTATTAAGTTCTGCAACGGCCATGGAATGTGCCGCATCAGTCTCGTTGAACTCACAAGCAATATCACACCCATCATGATAAATAACCTGCAACCGAAAATTTTCAACTGAGATTTCATGGGGAACAAAAAAGAAGCATTTCCATGCATAAACCCCCCTATGGTATACAAGACGGGACAAGCGACAAAGCGAATCTTGGACTACGGTATTATTGTACAAAATGAGTGTCAAAAAAGTAGATTGTGCACTACATACCATCCGAGCAAAAGTGAAAGACGAGCAGCTGGTGATGAAGGCAACCGTTCACCCAATGCGAGCATACCAGCCAGAACGCCTGTAACGATCGATGCCACAGCAGCACATGTGGATATCACAATTGCTCTACCGTGCTTTAGGCCACGAGTCTGTCCAAAAGGTGTAAAAGGGTATGTTACAGGCTGAATGCAAAGGTATTAACATGATTGGATGACTCCATGAACCACTTTGAGTAGCTGAAATACCTGGTAGTAAAATCCGGTGCCACTACAGCATATGCTGATCGAGACACATGTAGGAATCAACATTTTGGAGAAACCCTGCTCCACAAAAACGAAACCTATCTTCGATATCACAGATGCCATCCTGGAAAAAGAAAAAGAAAACAAACCCCGTTTAAGGTGAACATCTAGAACCACAATGCATGAAGTAACACACCAATGCTACAGGACTTCTGTCTTTGCTGAGTAAAATCTCCATATGAGATCGATTATGAACCATGAAGAGCAAGAATAAGATGTCCAATAAAAGCGATTTGGGTGAAAGAGATTACCCGAATAAAATTCCAGACTCCAAGCCATAAATGATCTCTTCAACAACTTCATACTCCATCTACATGAAAATATATGTTAACAAGGGAAAAACAGCAAGAAGGGGGGTCAAAATATTAAATAAATGAATATAAATCTTTAAATTTCATAGACTTTACCAGTTCTTGCTCTCTACGCTGACGCCTGCAAATACGAAGCCACCCATTTAGAAGAACCTGTATAATCATATATAGAGTAAGCATTATAGCAGGATGGATTATCCCACAATAAATAATCAAAGGAGCGATGAAATATAGCATAGGCAAGACTACAGACATGTTTCAAAAACAAAAGATTATGAATCGGAGACATCAAAAGTACAGCTCTCCTTCAATGGTCAGCGTCGGCGACAGTTCTTTAGTAGCATTTTTTTGTTAGATTAACAATGTCGAAATAATTGAGTTCTAATGACCTTCATATAACTTCTAAAAGTTCCCTGTAAAGGAACACCGTTTTTGGTACGATGCATAAAAAAATTGTATCTCTTAAAGTTCTACAATAATCTGGTGAATTTAGGAATTTCTTAAAAGTTTCAATTTTGCACGACAGATAATAATTTAATCATGAAATAGATCAATGAATCCTACAACATATTTCAGATGATAATCTATGTGTGCGCGCGTGTAAAAGCAATTCTAACTAGATAAAGAGTATGGGTACCTACAAACAAGATCACAACAAAGAATGCCAACCATGGTAACTGCAAAATAGATACTGAAGAAGCCTCTTGCTCCTCTCCACCGGCGCCAACTCCTAATTGTACAAAAGAATACAATTACTACTCTATATAGGTCAATGGTATTATACCGTACTATCGTAAAACAATAAGGCTAAACTGGGTGATTCCGGTTGTTGCAGAAACTATTAGCATAATCATTAGGAGAATATCTGTTACAGAACTCAAAAGTCAAACCCTTAAATCATTGTAGAAATATAACATGATGTCAATGGGGTAGGCTTTTAAACAAAATCGAGAACCAGGAAAAACTTGCATTACCTATGGTGCCAATTCCAGCTAATGTAATCCCCATCCAGTCAATAACATTCATTACCTCTTGTAGATAGAAGTGTGAAAAGATCGAAAGAATGGCAAGGCCGCAGCCGGATACCGGTTGAATGACAGATACCTGAACGGTACTTTCATAGTCAAAAAGATAAAGAATACACACTATCAATCCCTCTGCAACCAAGCATTGGCCATGCTACAAAGGAACAACAAATTTAAACTGTTGCAGAAATAAAGAAAATCAAATTCACCGGAGCCATAGATAACGCTCTCAGCATCAACAAGGCGCCGGATATATCAATCAGAAACCCTATCGCCCATGATTTATTAACAGCATATGACCTTATCACCTACATAAAAAAGTACAAAACCAGTCAACAACACTCCAACCAAATCCAATTCATTTATTCTTCTATCTTATAGAAGGTAACATATTTGAAAATGTCTATTTCAGACCTGATCTGAAGCTGAGATTAACAAACTTTCAATGAACAATATCCCAAAAAGTCTCACATATTGAAAAATTTCAGACCAAACCCAATATCAATGTGGCTTAAAAAAGTTCAATGGCAATATGCAAAAAGGAAGATACCCAGAAACAGAAAAAGAGAGAATGAATTACCTTGAGCTTGAAGGAAAGAGGAGGGAGAATAACGGTGCCCTTCTTTTGGAGAACTTTGCCAATGTTATTACCGGCGGTGGCTGCCAATGTTAAACAGATCGATTCCCACATTTCTTCTTCTTCTTCTTCTTCTTCTTCTTCTTCTTCCTCGGTATCTCTGTTATTGAAATCTGAAGAAGATCTCTTTGCGGTTTCTTCTTTTTCACCTAAAGACAGGGATTTTGTGGGAGAAGAAGCAGCGGGTTAGAGTTTGTTGTTGCCTTACGCTAACCCCTTCTGTTAATAATTCGGGGTTGGCATTTTGTCAAAGGTTGTTTGTTAGTTCCATCGCATGTTGCTTTAAACGAAATGCATCCCGAATTTAAAATTTGATTTTATTCGATTAATTTAATTCTTTTATTAGTTTGAATGAATATAATATAATAATACAAGATAATATTTATTAAGATATTTTTAATTATTTAATAATAAATGTTCATATATTTCTATAAACGTCACATTTCAAATTTAAACTTTAAAAAATAGTAACAACCTTTTACCACGAAATTAAATTTATGTAATTATATTTTGAAATAATATGTGAAGATACTAACTTTTTATCCATTTTTATTTATTTATTTATTATTATAATTATAATAATAATTATTATTATTATTATTATTAAAATATATATATATATATATATAAATAATAATAAAAATTACAAGCCCAAAAATTGAAAGCCCAATCAACCGGCTCAAACCAAACTGAAACCCTAAACATTTAGGGTTTCAGCTAGGATTTCTAACCCTAGCGCCGCAGCCGCCTCTCCAGTTGTCAGAGACCGTTGTCGACGGTCAGCTGCCAGATGCTCGAACCCACTTCAGCCACGACGCCGCCGCCTTGCTGAAGACTTCAAAAGCTTTGCTGTTTCAACACCCGCCGCCCACGTTGCAAACTCTAGGGGTGAGTCACCACATAGCTCGGTGACTCACCGAACTCCATCCTTAGGATCGGTCCGAGACAAGCGCCGGTGATGGCTATAAAGCCATCACCCAACCTGCAAAGAAAACAGAGGACAACCAGCAAAAACAGAGAAAAAAAAAGAGAAGAGGAGAGGAAGAACGGAGAACATAAAAAAAAACCCACAACACAGCAACCAAAAACAAAAGAAAAGAGAGGAGAAAAACTTACCGAGGAAGCCACGACCGCCGGACCTCTTCAAACATCACCAAAACCTTCGAAAATCGAATGTACTTACTTAGATTTGCTCCGATCGGGAGCTATTTAGGAGAAAAGAGCACCGGAACCGTCATTAGGACGGTCCGATCTATGTTGTGGTGTAAAAATAAAATTTTCCAGCCACCGGATGCGGTGGCCGATGGTGGGAATTACGGCAGCAGACGGCTGCCGCCCGGTGACCGGCTTCCCTCCGGTGAGGGAAGCTAGAGAGAAGCCAGAGAAAACTCTGGCTCTCTCTGTTTGAGAGAGAAGAGAAACGGGGAAATGAGAGCTGGCCCTTCGGGCCAGCCGGTTTCGAGCTTAAATAGCCCTTCCCGAACGACGTCGTTTCGGGGAGGGCTATTTATGTAATTTTTAATTGTTAAATCCCGTCCGCAACCATCCTAACTTGTAATCTTTACATTTTAGTCACTAAATCAAATTTATAATCCTTTTAATTTGGTCTCTAAATTTTATTTTTTTATATTTTAGCCCTTAACCGTATTTATAAATATTTAGGACAAATAACATATTTAGTCCCTTAATTTTAATAAATAATATTTTAATCCAGAGTATATATTTTTAATTTATTTTAATCTGATATTTGAATTTTATATAATTTTATTTTAGTCACTAAATTAATAAATAAGGAAAATAGCATGATTAATCCCTATAATTTTAAATAATTAATTAGGATTAAGTATTTAATTTTTATTAGATTACAATTTAGTCACTAATTTCATTATTATATGTTAATTTTATATGTTTACTTTTATTATTACTACTATTATTATTATTTAACCATAAATATATATATTTATATAATAAATAATATGTATTTTATTAAAATCTTAGTTAATTATTTTAACTTATTTTAATCCTATTTTAATATTTATTTATTTTCCAATATTAGAAAAGGGCAATCTTAAAATAATTGGATGTCAATTTTCTGATAAATAAATATCTTATTTTATAAATTATATATTAATTGTTTTAATTATTTATTTATTATATCAAAGGAAAGAGCTGTCTTAAGGCACCTAGAAGTCTTTTTCTGATATTACTAAATAAATAAATATTTTATAAATTAATATATATATTTTTTTAAAATAATAGGATTATAAATTAAATATATCTTTGAATTTTTAAATTTCTAATAATAGAGACAATTTATAATTAAAAAGTACCAATTTTGGGCGTTGTAGGGATGCTAATCCTTCCCTAAACGTAACCGACCACGAATCCCTTTTTATTATTAAAAAGAACAAATTTTTGGTTAAAACGCATATCAGTTTATCTTTTAACTGATGTTTTCTTAAAAACTCTTTTAAAATATAATTTTTTAGGTATTTGACCTACCTGACCCAAAAGGCCGATGGCGACTCCCAAATTATTTTCAAAATCATTTATTCACATCAATTTTCCCACCAAATAAATATTTCGTGTCCGGACAAAAACCGGTTACGACACCTTGGCGACTCCGCTGGGGACGGTCAAACTTTTAAAATCAATTATAAATTGTCTCTATTAATTATAAATTAAAAAATTCATATATTTTATTTATAATTCTTTCTTTTCAAATTTTTTATATATTTATTATTTTCATAGTATTTATATATTTTCTTATTAATATTTCATTTTATTTGCAAGTATTTTATTTCATTATTTATTTTTCTGTCAGAGGTTTGGACATTTCTCCTCACACACAACACTTGCATTGCATAACATAAAGCTCTATAATTGAGTTTGTCCCTTTTAAGTGGGAGTGAAAGCGACGTCTTCGTGAGAATTTATTCTCTGTGTCAGACCTAGCAAGTAACTTTCGGGGTTCATATGCTCTATGTCTTCGTGAGAATTTATTCTCCGTGTCAGACATAGAGAAATGTATCCCCTCGAATTGAACTCGATCCATTTTAGTCTGTGATGGACTAGGATTGAGGGTTAGCAACCCAAGGGGGCACTAACAAGGACAATTCGGGTACCTTTATTCTTAGATCTGAAACATTGCATATAATAAACCCTAGAAACTCTTCTGATCTGAAGCCATGCCGAAATAGGTGTACACACAGGAGAAATGAATTCTAACTTTCCTTTTAATTAATTTATTTATTTTCTTATTGATTAAATTACATGTAAATTTAAATTATTATGAAAAAACATGTTTAAATAAAGATATTTAGGTAGATATTATTATTAAATTTCTTTATTATGTAAACTAATTCATTTCTTTTTGTGTGTTCTTTATTTCTTCTGTTTGCATAGCATCATACAGGATAAAAGGCATTGATCCTCGTGTTAATTGTCTCATTGGAAAGCCTTCATCCATGGATAAAAAGTGTTCAAATCAAATAATTCTAAACTCAGAAGTAAGACAGTGGGCTGAGGACTTACAAAGACAAGGAGGAGACAGTCTGCAAGATGATTATGTATCGGACTTGGCCAGTTATGCTCCAATTTCGCTAAAAAGAAATGACATGCAAGATTTGCGAAGCATTTGGGAAAGTTGGGACTCAAACAAAAAGTTGCAGTTTTATCAGACTTATGGAGACATCCTATATTTGCTCTATGTCGAAGTTGATGATGACTTACTTCGAGCCCTAATTCAATTATGGAATCCAGGGTACAATTGCTTCACTCTCAATAAGGATGACTTGGTCCCTACTATTGAAGAGTCCACAACTTTGCTACATATAGAAGGGGCTTTGAAGAATCGAATTTATTCAAAGTCAATTAAAACTCAACCCTTTCGAGTTAAATTAGCAAAGATTACCGGGGTACGAGAAGAATGGGTGGCATCCCGTACAAAATAAAAGGGCGAAAGCGAAGGCATTGCTTGGACCAACATTAAAGAACTTATTCAGAGTCATCCAGACACTAAAGTACGATTAGATCTATTTGCTTTGGGTATGTATGGTATGGTCATCTTCCCAAAAGTATTGGGATATATTGAAGCTGCAGTAGTAGATTTGTTTGAGCAGCTACCAAAAAAGATTAATCTTGCTTCTGCAATTCTAGCAGAGACTTTCAGATCGTTAAATGCTTGTAGAAAGCTAGGAGGTGGACGATTCTCAGGGTGTACCCAGTTGTTATATGTTTGGATCCGTAGCCATTTCTGGAGGACAGAAAAGGTTTCATACCGACGCTTTAATACGGATTACTCACCATTAAAAGAATTTCTGGAGCAAGAATGGCCGAAAGAAATTAAGAAAGATATGTTGATTAATGCCTTTCGAAATCTGCAAAGCAATGACATTGTTTGGCGAGCCCCGTGGCAAATCCAAAGAGAATTTTTTTACAAATGTGGTGATTACAATTGGATAATGCTGCTCGGATTGTGGGGAGGAATTGGATATGCACCACTTCTGGTCATAAGACAGTATGAAGGTCGTCAATTTGTACCTGTCACCGCTGGATTACATTCATCTGAGTTCGCATTCCACAGTAAAAATTATAAAAGAAATATCATGGAAGCCGTTACAGCTTGGAAAACAACTTTTTGTATCCGAGCTAAAGCAGCAAAAGAAATGCCAACTCCTGATTATGAGGAATGGAGATCTGTCAGGAAAAATGAAAATATTCCTCTACCACATCAAAATGAGGATATCTCTATGGAAGATCGCATTAAGGTGGTTCCATCAGAGATTGAAATCCTGAGAGCTGAGTTTGAAGCAGAAAGAGAAGGCTGGTCGAAAGAATTAGAGCAAATGAGACGAGATAAAGCTATGTTGGGTGTTGACATTGACTTTCATTCATCACAATGTGCAATGTTGAGAGAAAACAAAGAAAAAGTTGATGGTGAATTTAGAGCATTAAAGAAAAATTACCAGGAGTTTTATAAATCCCGGAAAGCATCAGGACCAAGCCAATCAACAGTACAGATAACCAGAGAATTGAACATCGAGAAAAGTCGAGTTGAAGATCTGAAAGGAAAGAATAGCCGTCTACTCAAAAGCCTTGAGAAAGGAAAGCAAAAAATGGAAAATTTTGAGGTTGACAGAAGAGAGCGAATTATAAAACACAAAGCTGAACATCGCGAAATCATGAATGAAATGCAAAGAGAAAGAGATCGAGCCAAAGATTTAGAA